GGGGGTGTTGTGTGGGGGGTGTGGAGGGGTGGTGTGGTGGGGATGTGTGAAGCATATGGAGGGGAGGGAGTGGTGTGGGGGGTGTGGAGTGTGTGTAGGGGAGGGGTGGTGTCAGGGTATGTAAGGTGAGTGGAGGAAAAAGGGTGGTGAAGGGCTGTTTGGAGGGTAAGGAAGAGAAGGGGTAATATAGGGGAGTATGGAGGATGTGGAGGGGGTGGTGTGATGGAGGTGTGTAAAGTGAGTAGAGGGGAGGGAGTAGTGAGGTAGAGGTGTGGGGTGTGTGTGGAGGAGGGGGTGGTGTGGTGAGGATTTGTGGGGGCTGTGGAGTGGAGGGAGAAGTGAGGTGGGGCTGTGGGATGTGTTGAGGGGAGGGGATGGTATGGTGAGGAGGTGGGGTATGGAGGGGAGGGGTATGGGGGGAGGGTGTGTGGGGTGTGGAGGGGAGGGGATGGTATGGTGAGGAGGGGGGGTATGGAGGGGAGGGGTATGGGGGGAGGGTGTGTGGGGTGTGGAGGGGAGGGGATGGTATGGTGAGGAGGGGGGGTATGGAGGGGAGGGGTATGGGGGGAGGGTGTGTGGGGTGTGGAGGGGAGGGGGTAGTGTGGTGGGGGTGTGGGGTGTGTGTAAGGGGAGTGGAGGGGAGAGGATGGTGTGGTGTGTGTGGTGTGCTGATGGAGAGGGTGGTATGGTGAGGGGTGTGTGTGGAGTGTGTGCATGGGATGGGGTTATGTGTTGTGTGGAGGGGTGGTGCTGTTGGGGTGTGGGGGTGTGTGGGGTGTGTAAAGAGGAGGAGGTAGGTGGTGTGTGTGTGTAGTTTGTGGAGTGGATGGTGTTTTTGAGGAGGAGAGTGAGTGTGTGGTGTTTGGAGTAGGTAGAGTTGTGGAGGGGGAATTATGTTGGGGGTGTGGGATATGTTCAGTGGTAGGATTTTGGAGGGGTGACAAGGTGGTGGGGTAGAGTGGGAGCTGTGAGGAAAGTTGGTATGGTTAAGCCCCTGAGGGTGTTTAAGGGTTGTGTTAACTGTGGGGAGGGGCAGGGATGTGGTTTGGTGTTTGGAGTTTGTAGAGACGTTTGGTGTTTAGAGATCTGCAGGATTTGTGGGGTACAGTGATGTGTGTCCCCCTTTGTCCATCCTTCCTTCCTCTTCCCCCACTTCCATCCACTCTTCCTCTCTTCCTCTCCCTTCTCTCCCTCTCCTACCTGGCCTCCTGAGGGTCCCGCGCCTCTACCAGTCATGTGGCATTGGCGGGTGCCTTCCTCCACCGTTCCTCTGTCCACGGCTCAAGAGTGGTCCAGTCTCGGAGCAGGGAGGATGGCGTTGGGAGCGCTACGCCTGGTGCTGTTGCTTCTGGCCTGGGACTTCGCAGGTGACGCTCACAGGGGGTCTGGTGGTGAGAATTGATGAAGAGGGGACCGACCAGCCAGGAGCCGTTACTGGCGGTTCCGCCTTATCCGCAGTGGTGGGGACCAAGCTGGGTGTGGAGCCAGTGCTGCTCTGGATTTCCAGCTGGGGCTCTTCCTTTCTTAAAACAGATTTTCAGGATTCTGAAATCTGCAGTTGGGTTTGTATCCACTGTCCTCTTGAGTCTGGCAGGAGGAGTGCTGGCCGTGGGGATGCCTTTGACCTTCCTCTCTCTGGATTTGACCCCTCTGAGAAAACGGAGTTGAAATCCTAACACCTACGCTAAGTGTTGTGTCTGTTGAGCCTAGCGTGCTGAAGCTCGCCTGTAATTCTTAGCACTTGGGAAGCAGAGGCAGGAGGATCAAGAGTTCAAGGCCAGTCTTGGCTACGTAAAGGAGCTGGAGACCAGCCTGGGCTGCATGAGACCCTGTCTCATAAAATAAAAAGTTGTGTTTAATCTTCCTGAGCCCCTGAAGGAAAGAGCATCTTAAACTGCACAGGCTTACCCACCAACCCACACATCCATCCACTCTTCCACAAACATGCACACACTGTTCCAGCACACAGAACCAGATGTTCTGTGAGCCTTACAAGTGCCACGAAATAAAAGGATTTTTTTTTTTAAAGGAGGGCAGATTGGTGATGGGCATCTGAGGGAGAAGACAAACCACAGACTATTTTTGTTTCATTTTTTAAATTTGTATGGGTGGTGTATTGTGGAGCCCGGAGGTTAACAAAGGTGTCTTCTGTTGCTGTCCGTCTTGTTTTTGAGCAGGGTCTCTCAATGAACCTGGAGCTTGTCATTTTGGTTAGACTGGCTGGTCAACAGCAATCTCTAGGACCCACTTTCAGGCCCTCGGGGCTGGGGTTGCAGACCCAAGCCAGCATGCTCAGCTTTTACATGGATGCTGAGGTTCGAGAACTCAGTACCTCATGCTTGCACAAGTGCTTTATCCATTGACCCATGTTTGTGTGTGTGTGTGTGTGTGTGTGTGTGTGTGTGTGTGTGTGCGCGCACAAGTGCTTTATCCATTGAGCTGTGTGTGTGTTTGTGTGTGTGTGTGTGTACAAGTATACTTGCCTGTGGGTGCTCATGGAGGGGACAGAGGTCGGTTTAGGGTAGCTTCCTTTATTGCCTATCTTGTTTACAAACAGCTTTAATGGGCCTTTATGAACGGTTCACCTTTGTCATATGTATAATGTCTCTCATTTCAGTCTCTCATTATGACTCTGACTTAATTCAGCCTTCGGAATTAAAAACAGTAAGTAGAAATACTTGTGATCTTCTCAGCCAAGCCATTTTCAGGCTGGATGCCACTTTAGAAATTGGATTGCTTTGGAAGTTGGGATCTCAGGCTGTCTCCTCAATATAAATAAAAGAATATGTATTTTTCCTCTTTTCTCAGAATCCTGCCTCAGCCTCCCGGGATTATAGGTGTGAGCCACCACATCAGCTAAAGTGTAAATTTTAATTGAGAATAGATCAGTGTTTGAAGGACTTATGGATTTGTTTGCTTTAATATTTCCTCTAATGATTCACAATTTCCATGGTATGATAGTTATACTAGACATTTTGTATACTTTATCAGATTAAATTCTGTGGACGTAAACGAAAACCAAATGAGAGGCAATTACTGAGAGCTGCAGTGTGGCAGGGAGGGTTTGGCACCACCATTTTCATTTCAGTAGAGACTCACAGACAGGCAGAGGTGAGACACTCTTCTTGGAGAGAGGGAGGCCCCTGGTGTACCTGGATACAGGCTGTTGGCAAGGGAAACTTTAGGTGGGCTACTGGACATCCTATGACGGGTTAAGGGTACAGATTCACCTTTTCCTGGTTGGTCCTAAATTGGAATTGAGGAGAAAAATTAGGGAAGCTGTCTGATTTTTTTTTTTTTGAGACAGGGTCACCCTGTAGCCTCAACTGGCCTAGAACTCACTATGTACACCTTGCTGACCTTAAACTCACAGAGATCCATCTGCCTCTGCCTCCTGAGTGCTGGGATTAAAGACCTGCATCATAACACCCACCTAGCTGTCAGATTTTAATCAGGGCCTGGCCACTTAAGGCCTACTGTTCAAGAAATTTTTTGGCTTCCTGGATCAGCTAAAGGTAGAAGTCTGCTTTCTGACAAGTTCAACCTAAGCAGGCTGGCTTCCTGCAGATAGCTGATGGTGAAGATGTTTACAGCTGTCCTCCACCTAAACAACTTGCAGATAACAACCTGCTCCTTTGTCATCCCTCGACGGCTGATTGGAGACTGTTCTCTTGCATGACAGTGGAATACTCAACTCTCCCATCAGATGAGGGTTTTATTTTATTTTATTTATTTATTTTTGTTTTTTCCCATGCTAGAGACCGAGTGTTGGAATTACAGGTGTGCAACACTATGCAAGGCTAAGTTGTATACTTTTGGGGCAGAGGTGGAGTTGCTGAGGATCAAATAAAGGATCTTGTGGAAGCTGTGCAATCACTCTTCCAAATTAAGAGTGCATCTGGAGGCTGGGCACGGTGGCACACCCCTTTAGTCCCAGCACTCAGGAGGCAGAGGCAGGCAGACCTCTATGAGTTCAAGGCCAGCATGGTCTACATATTGAGTTCCAGGCCAGCTGAGGCTATGGGGAGACCCTGCTTCAAAAAGATGAACAAAAGAGTGTATTTGGGACAGGGATATAGCCTCAGAGGCTAAATATTTGCCTAGCACGCATGAGGCCCTGGATTCAATCCTCAGCACTGTGTATCCCCAGTCAGTCTTTATAACACTTGAAGACCTCATTTAAAAAGCAAAGATAACACAAACACAGGTATAGAGAAATAAGATCGTTTGAGAGCTGTGTCAGGTACTTTAGAAATGACTTTCTTTAAAAAAAATTGCTTCAAAAAACTGCAGTTGCTCAGTGTGATGGCAAACTCCTTTAATTCCAGCGCTCAGGAGCCAGAGGCAGGTGGATCTCTGTGAGTTCAAGACCAACCTGGTCTACACAGAGAGTTCCAGGCCAATAGTGAAACTTTATCTCAAAACGAACAAAAACAACAAAAAACTGGTTAAAGTGGGTATAGATGGCATAACTGTACAGAATCGGGGGAAGATTTCACAATGTGGCACACTAAATTGCTTTGTAAATGACAAAATTCTCACTGGGTTTTAGTCCTGGGGGTTTTGTTTGTTTTGGGGACAAGGTCTCATATAGCCCAGGGTGGCTTCAACTGGCTGTACAGCTAAGGATGACCTCCTTCTACATTCCAAGTGCTGAGAGTACAGGCTAGAGGAACCATGACTAGCTCTGGTTTTGCTTTTTGAGACAAGGTGGGGAAACACCCCAAGCTGTGTTTGCAAGGCTGGCCTAGAAGTTGCTATGTAGCCCATGCTGGCCTCAAACTCAAAGCAATTCTCCTGCCTCAGCCTCCTGAATACTGAAATTACAGACATGAGCTACCACACCTGGCTCTGAGGTCCTTTTTTTTTTTTTTCTTATTGCAATTGTATTTCGAATCATTGCATCTTAGTTTTATATTACAAAATCTTTTTGTGTGTGTGGAGAGTATAAATACTTGTGTAGGCTATTTCTAAGAAATCTAGAGAGAGTTGGGACATTATCCCCCCTTAGATATTTTCTAATGTGTCTCAAGTCATCTTCTACTTTCTCTTTTCTCTTTTCTAGCCAAACTGTGATCATTATGATTACCCAGCATGCCCCAGGAACCTTAACCCTGTGTGTGGAAGTGACCGGATGACTTATAGCAATGAATGTATTCTGTGCATGAAGATCAGGTCACATTATTTTACAACTATATACTAGTCAAGCTTTCTCTTCATTTTCTTGAATTTTGATTACTGGGAGTAGTGACCATTTGGATTTAAGGATCCAATGTGATAAAGTTTTCGGCCTTCAGACAGACATTTAAGAAGATATAAAATCCTTAATGTGTTTTTAGGTCAAAGCTAGAGAATGAAGTGTCATCAGTCATACAGAGAAGCAATCAAGCATTGTTGCTATCTCCTTGATGTGTAGTTTTTTCAAATTAAGAATTGTTAAGAGCTGGAGAGATAGCTTGTCTGTTAAAGGCTAAAGCTAACAACCAAAATGTCAAGAGTATAGTTGAAACACAGCAGTGAATCTCTTGCCAAATGTGCATGAGGGCCTGGGTTCAAGCTCTACCTCTTGAGAGGAGAAAATGAGATAAAAAGATCATGTTACATATTTAGGTGCTGGGATGTATCTCAGTGGTAGAGCACTTGCCCTAACATTACATAAGACCCTGGATTCAATCCTCAGCATTGTGCCTACTATAGACACATGTAATTAAGACCATAGTTAATAGTTAAAGTCTATGAATTATCATATTTTCTTTTAAATTCTGAGGGTGTGCAGGTCACCTGCACACTCTATATTTACTAGTTGGAAAGGAAGACTTACATGTATTTAGCAAAATGCTAAGTATTAACTGTGTGATACTTAACTTTGTTTATGTAATAAACCTGGCCAGGTTTCTCTACCCCTTCCCTGGTATGCAGCTTTGTACAGCAGAGCCTAGTCTCAAACCTCAGTCTCCCATGAGCAATCAATCTTTTTGGAGTGTTTTGTAGGGGTTAGTGCCCTGTGTCCTAGGTTTGGGGGGGTGGGGATGGCTGAGTAGGGCAACAGGGACTTTCATTTGTGTTTCCTCCCTGAATTACCCTTAAAAAGTGACTAAGCAAACGTAGGCCTGGGAGGACTTAAACGTTTAATGGTTTCAGTATGGTATCAGTAATATTGTTTTTATGGTTCAATTTGCAGGGAGGATGGAAACCCTCTTAAGATCATCAAAGAAGGGCCATGCTGATGGGCAGTTTACAGAAGAGAAGGTGGAGAAACCCCTCTGCACTGCAATTCCCCCTGCTAGAATTCTACTTCTTCTTTTTCCCCTTTCCTGTTTCTTTGCATGAGATCTGTGAACCCATCTTTTCTGAGAGGAGGTATGGAAGACCACAGTGTGTATCCATAGATAAATTTCTAAAACTCCTGTTCTTGACTTCTGCCCTTAAGTTCTGTTTTATTCAGCTTATGGCCCAGGTGACTTGTGCATGTATTTAGTTGGAATAAAATCAGCATTAAATTCATTTGCTGTCATTTTCTGTTGAAAATGCCATTTCCACTTGAGGGGAATTTTCCTCCCACCCTCTTTCAGGGTTGTCCCTTGGGTCTGAGAATGAAATGGACAAGAGTTTCGCCTTTAAATGAGACTGACTCCTTCCCTCCCAATGGTTATCAATTGCCAAAAGTTCCTCAGGTAGGTTTGAGGTTTCTCATTTCTCCATGTCTATGCTGAGATTTTTGTCTGGCTTGAGCTTACATGGAACTTGTGCATGCTGTTACCATTGCTGCGAGTTCATATGTAACACCTTTTTTTTTAAGTAGATGCAGAACATTTATTTGCTCATATTTTAATACTGCTTTACATATTTTTTGTTTGAAACAATTCCTATTGTTTTATTAACCAGAAATGTCAACTGATAACAGATTCAGTTAATGTTCACTTGTCAAGCATAGTTGCTAATTGAGGGAGAAACCCATCAAAGGCTTATGTACAGTTGTGGAGGTTCTTACTATACATGTAGCATGGAAAGTACACTTTATCACTTTTTTTTTGGTCTTTTTGAGACAGGGTCTCCCTGTAGCTCCAGCTGTCTTGGAACTCACTATGTAGACAAGGCTGGCCTTGAACTCATAGAGATCCGCCTGCTTCTGCCTCCCGAGTGCTGGGATTAAAGGTGTGCGCCACCACGCCCGGCATCACTTTTTACATATTACATATTCTAGAAGACATTCAAGTGAAGACAGACTAGTTGATAAACTTCTGATGGTTGAGGTTCTTAGTTTTATCTTTTTTGTGATAAGAAAATTCAAAATTATTAATGTTGAATTTCTCATCGTACATTCATTAAAAATATAGTACAAACAATATATAAAGGAGGATTATAGATTTGTTTCCATGTGTTCTAGTGGCTTAATTCATGGCTGGGGTGTCTTAGAGAAGGGAAAAAGAACTGGAAAGAGCTCTTCTGGCTACTTAATGTGAGTTAAGAAGCAAAATGGGAGCAAAGCAGAGCCTAGTCTGTCATATCCCAGTGATCCTTTTAGGTGTTTTCTTTTTCATAAACGTAAAAATCTGAAAAGAAGATGCACTGTATTTGTTTTTTTCCACAATATAGATTTCTTTAAAAATATATACCTACAATAAATAGAGGCTGAAATTATGTAAAACCAATAAAGAAAACACTCCAGTCAAGTATGTGGTGCAGCATATAGATTATAAAACATCCCTCCACAGCCATCTGGGGCTCCTCTTTCTTGACCTGTTTCATGTTTGCAACCTCACCTAAGTACTGCCAAGCCTGAAGAGATACTACAGATGGCAGGTGTGCCAAAAGCTTGCGAATTCAAGAAGAAATAACTGAACAAGAAAATGCAGTGGTACATTTTTTGCAACTCATTCCAGTGTCAAAGCTAAACCCCCCTCCCCCCAAAAATCCAAGTATACAAATACAGCCCAGAAATATTTTAGTGTAAATACGAAAAGTAACAGAATAATTTAAAGTTTCTTAAATAAGATCTTGTCAGGATTGGGCTTATTCCATGAGGTTTCTTCAGGGACAACAAAAGTAACAGCACCTGGTGCAATGTCTTATGAAAGCTCGCCTACAAAATATTTATTATTCTAACTTATAAGGGGAAATGAAAGGGAAATTTATTAAAGATCAAAATACTTTCTTAGATTTGCTGACGGGGTCAAAAATAACGAATTCTCCTGAAGTGGCGTGCATAATGCTGGTGGTAGCTACTGAGAGGTCAGTGCCTAGGAGAGCCCAGCTCTGCCCTGAGGCCTCATCAGAAGGTCTCATTGTCATTGCAGTTGGTTGCCCAGTGCCCAGACCTCTCACAGATTTCACAGTATGGCCACTCCTCGCTTCAGCTGCCATAGTGGTAACACTTTTTTTTTTTTTTTTTTTGAGATAGGATCTCACTGGCCTGGAACTCAGTATGTAGACCAGGCTGGCTTTGAACTCACATAGATCTTCTTCCCTCTGACTCCCAAGTGCTGGAATTAAAAGTGCTGACCACCACCTGGATTGACTGTTAAGAGAATAGATTATAGTATGTAGTAGTCTAATCTTTGGAGTAGATCAGAATGTTCTATATCCATTGAGGACCAGAACTGATTACTTCCCTTTGACCAGGAAGAGAAATAGCTTTCTCTTAATGGGCCTCAACAGAGCCCTGATATTTCCATCTTTTTATATGGTCAAAGCTGATGTTTCCCTTTTCAGTGTATATTAGTCAGAGTTCTCCAAAGAAACAACTGGTAGAATGAATATATATATGTAGAAATTTATCAGCTTAGCTCACAGGATAGAGTCTGAGTAGTCCAACAATGGCTGTACCACACTGGAGAGGCTGAGAATCCGTAGTCGCTCAGTCCACCAGGCTGGATGTCTCAGTAGTAGTCCCAATCTGGCACTGAAGGCCTGACAAATTCCAAAAGATCAGCTAGTCTTCAGTCTACAGCAGCAAGACGAACTCACCAGCGAGAGAGAAGGCAAGCAGCAAGAAGCCAGGTGTTCTCTGCCATGGCCTTTTATATGGGCTGCCATCAGAAGGTAACACCCACATTTAGGGTGTGTCTTCCAGCTTCAGATGATCCAATTAAGAAGATCTCTCTCATTTCAGTTAATCCCACATCCAGTCAAGTTGGCATCCAGGATTAGCCATCTCACAGTATTACCAGAGAAATAGGACATGGAGCCCAAAGCTGACCATAAGGGAGAGGTCTCTCCTAAATGACCTTCATGGCTGTTAATCCCTGTCTAGCTACCTAACATTCTCCCCTCAAGAGTTAGATCCTAAAATAATTTAGGAGATGGACTGAAATCGGGGAGCATATATAACTCATTTCACTATGAAAATCCAGAGATCTAGTTCCAAAGCTGTGCACCCAGAAGGGACTAGTGTCTGGAATAGATTTTAGTCATACCCTCATGTATGGCTTCAGGCATAAGACATCCCTGTTCCCACACTACCCCTTACCCTCTTTTTCTGTATGCCCCTAGGCTCTGGAATGATAGAATATGTAAACTGCAGGAGAGCCATAAGCTTCCTTAAAGGAAGCCATAAGGACATAAATTCCTCAAGTTGGCCAAATGGCCCAAATTGGTGGCTTGGGGCTTGGCCTTTGCTCAAGCCGTATCAACTGGTCATTTCCCTGGCTGACAGGACTGTTTACAGGGCTGACTTATCTCCTTTGGTGCCATAAGATAACTTGCCTGCTCATCCTGCGAAAATAATTTTAGGAAGAAGACCCTCAATTACCCCAAGGACACTGGCAGTGAACAAATTCCTGCAGCTGCATTCAACAGCGTTCCTATGTAAATCCAGATTACTCTGCCTTTCTTTGCTAATGCCTGTATCTGAGGACAGAGGCGGCCCTTTGCTGTGCTCCTGAATAAAGGAGCATATTCCTTGCCTGTTGCAAGTCTGGCATTGATTTTTATTTCTTAACTTTTAAACGCCTTCCTTTTTCTGCTCTCCTAAATCTAACAATAGAAACCCCTGGAGTTGGAGTTACAGGAGGTTGTGATCCACCTGATGTAGGTGCTAGGAATCAAGCTTGGGTTCTCCAGAAGAACAGCAAGTGCTCTTCATGTGCTATATCTTCAGGCCCCCCTCCTTTCTTTTTTTGAGACAGGATCTCACTGTGCAATCCTGGCTGGCCTAGAAATCACCGACTGGCCTCCAACTCCCAGAGATTACCCCTGCCTCTGCATTCCGAGCACTGGGATTAAAGGCATACACCACCATACTCAGAACCACTACAGCATCCTTTTTCTTTAATTTAAAATTTTATTCTTTTATATTTATATGTTTTGCCTGCATGTATGTAAGTGCACCATGTGTGTTCAATGCCCATGGATGCTAGAAGAAGACATTGGATCTTCTTTAACTGGAGTTATGGACAGTTGTTAGCTGCCATGTGGGTGCTGGGAACAGGACCTTGGGTTCTCTGTAAGACCAGCCAGTGATCTTAACCACTGGTAATGTCTCAGCCCCTCACTACAGCAGTCTTAATCAACTGCTCTGGAATTATGGGTAATGCTATGAGGTCCTATGATCCAGTCTTCTGTCTTGTGCTTTATACTGTTAAAGAGAAAAGGGAAACCCTATTTCCTAGTATTGGAGATTTGAAAGTTGATTTTTGTGTGTGTGAAGAAGATCATGTTTAGATAAAATTCATAATAAAATTGGATTTCATAGTTTTGTGATTATTTCCCTTCCCTTCCAAGTTAAAAAAAAATCTTCATATGTAAAAAGAGACTTTGGGGGAGGAGATGAAACAGAACATTAACAAATTACAAAAATGAATACACGTTTCTTTCAAGGAACATGTTCTGTTTTGCTAATTATAATAAAAATGTCTTTCTAAATATTAGAACACAGAGAAAAGTAAGAAAAAAATGATGATTTTAAAGGCCATCAGATGGCTGGCTTACCCCCGTAATCCTAGCACTCAGGAGGCTGAGGTAACAGCACTGTGTCAAGTTCAAGGACAGCCTGGACTACAACATGGTGGGTTCCAGGACAGCCTGGGCTACAGAACAAAGACCCTATTTCAAAATACACACACACACACACACACACACACACACACACACACACACAAGCCATGAGATGAAGGACATTTTTTTAGACCCAGCAAGTCCTAGAGCCAGAAATAGCCCATGCATAGTCTTTTACAGCCTGTGGCCAAATATGCTTCCCTGTCAAGGAATAACTCTGGCCAGCCCAGTA